CACCAAAAGATATTTCTTTTTTCAAATACGCAACCATTGTGTCAGCAGACGTAGAAAGAAGTTTTTCGAAATACAAGGTGATGCTACGTGATAATCGTAAAAATTTTCAATTTGATAAATTAAAAGCAAATTTTGTTACATTATGTTGGTAGGTACTCATTTAATAATTAATTAATTAATTTTTCGCTTAGTAAAATATTTTTTAATTTTTAGAAAAACAATTATTTTATAAATTTAAATTTTGAGTAATGAAACTTTTTAAAATTATCCATTTTATATTTAGATAAAGTGTATCTACATTTAATTAATTATATTTTATCTACTAGCTAGATAAATATTTAAATAATTATCTATTATCTGATCTAAGTTAATTCTAAATTAATTATCTGTTATCTTATCTAGATAAATCATCTATTAGTTCATCATCATTAGTTATCTATGTACTCGTACAGCACTGCGAATAACCATGTTAAACGGATAGTAATAATATCATATCATATAGTCTTTTCTGCTACAATTTTCATGTTTGACGCTTTTATTATTTGTATACGAATCTAGTCCATTCGTTTTGCGATAAAACTTGAAATGGTATAGTACAACCAAACACTTGTATTTACCCTTGACAAGTTCACCTTTTTTTTTCAAGGAAAACATCACCGACTAAACGGATACTGCGGAGATTCGTCGTTTGTAAAATATGTGAAGATCTTGTAAAAACGAGTTTTAATTTGGTACAGGTCAGTCAACACGTTTGAAACTCAGGTATTTCTTCAAGTAACATTGCGTATACTAAATAATAAACTCATAAAAATTAATAATATCAGTTTACTACAAAATGTTCTGGTCAAATATACTCAATACATTTCTGTTTTTATTTTATACATAAATATTTTTATTTCCGAATATCAATCGTAACTCATTCAACATAAAAAATGAACCTTATTTAAAATGATTAATTACTTTTCAAAGAACAATAATTAAAATTAAATTTTTTTTTGTTTCCGTAGCAGTATAGTACAGCAGAAATTGGTTATAACAAGTTTTAAGGGCCAGCCAGTTTTTCTCGTTATAACCACTAGCTATATTGGGTATATTATCGTTTAATAATACATTGTTTTTTATGGATTGAACGATTTTGAAATATTGAATTATAGTTAATTTAATCCAGGATAAAATTATTCGTATCTAGTTTTACGAACAATATATAAAATACATATCTTGTAGTAGAACATGAAGATAAATTAAATGCAGTTATAAAGTATTAAATTTTAGTGATTTCAGTCACATACTTAATCAGTAAATCAAATATTTTAAATACAAATTATATAACACATGAAGTTTTTAATAAAATATTTTATCGTTTTTTATTGATTTTTCTCGACATTTTATAGTCCACAATCGCCAACAAACACGTTATGCATAAGAAATAATTCGTAATAATAATAATAGTAGTAGTTGGAATAAACTGTTTTCTTGTGAAAGTAGAAAAACACATGAAATAATATTAAGTAATTACTTGTAATAGTTAAATAAAATAATAGGTTGAACTATGTTTGTATGTAAATAGTTTTGTTTATTTTAAATTGTAAAACAATAGGTAAAGTTTTTAAATGTTATAATAAATTGTTTAGAGAAAAACACATGTACGCGCATCGTTCGAAAACACATCTTAGTTATTAAATATTTTAAATTGCCCTCTAAATAATTAACGTTTCTATATAAATAACGTCCTCTAAATACTCTTGAATTCAAATCATGTAGATAATATCATTGTTTGAATAACAACAACGACACCTAAATATTGCTGTTCAATAGTGCGTCGAAGACGATAGAAACTCATATTTTTCTAGTGGAAGTGTCAGAATAGCAAAGAAAATGAGGAAAATTCTAAAGATTTTTTAATAGAAGTAGGTTCATATAAATAGTGCACACGAAATGAAATATATTGATAGAAAGGTAATAATTCTGGTGATACATAAAATAAATTATGCTTGTCCTTAAAGAATATGGATTTGGTGAGCTATTACTGTCTTGGTTAAGTTCCTATCTCGTTAGCAGATGTCAAGTTAAGGTGTTCGGCATTAAGTCTAAAATATTTTTGACCTTATCTGGTGTCTCCCCCTACCGGGGGTCATCTAAAAATCCATTTTTCATTATTTATTAACTGTGTCCATAAAGTTCTGGACCATTGTCGTTTTCTATGTTTTGTTGACGTCATTAAACTCTTACGCGAATATGCTCAATTGAAGACTGTCTGAAGTTACAAGCTGACGTCAATAAATTTTCTGTTTAGCCCAATATTATTTGCTTATCACATAATCTATCCAATTGTAAAGTCTTTACCGTTGCATCTGAATTGCATGCTAAAAAAATAAACATAAATTGGAATGTCCAAATTCCATGCCATCTCTTAGAGGAGTCTGTCCGAATTGCATGCCACGTCTTAGAGGACGAATTGCATGCCGTGCACCCCCAAGTTTATTTATCATGCACTTATAGTAGAACTTAAACTATATTTTTGACTTTTCTAATTTTTTGAAAAAAACGTATGAATAAAAACTGATTACTACACGAACGTTTACAATAAGCCCACCTTTTAATATTATTGCACAGTAATTTTTGAAAATAAAATTTTAAATTATCAATTACAAAAAGGGTTTTGTTTTTTTCGCTTAACATATTTTAAGCTTGTACTTCCACGATCACGCTACAGTTAAATTACTGTGGACAAGTTATCATTTACGTTCCGAAATGTACTAATATTATAATACATAGAAAAACTCACAGGTGATATCTTCATTTTGGTACCATATCATAAAGAGTTTAAGTCAAAATAAAGTTTTAGTTGTGCACATAAGTGAATGATAAATAAACTTGTGGGTACACAGCATATCCCTCTAAGACGTGGCATACAATTTGGATAGACCCCTCCAAAAATGGATGATAATATTAATTCATCTGTTATATTGTCATTTTTATGTTTTGAAGTACCTCGGGTAACAAGAACCACTATTCCTTTCTATATTCCCCTCATTTCATCACAAATTATTTAAAAAACAAACCTATTAGGTGCCTAATGGTAACCTTTAGTAACTAATTAAGTTAATTTATAATTTATTTGATAACTGAATGTTATATCATATTATATTGTCCAAAACATGTTTTATTGAATGTTGGATAAATGGTATATGTATACTAAAAGGAAATTGCCCGTGTAATTAAAAAATTTAATTAAATTAAATAAATAAAATAAAAGAAAATAACTGTAAAATTATAATCATTATATTATTGTTATTGTACGTCGGTGGTCATCAAACTAAACATTAGTGTGTTAATTATAAATTTACCCCAAAAAAAAAATCTACTATCATCAAGAACTGCCATTTTTCTCAATTATTTTTATTACATATTTCATACAATTTATTTATTGCATACGTCTATATATTTTGTAAATGATTCTTAATATTTTTTTTTTAAAAAAAATCTAATCTGTCACAAATTTTAAATTTGCAGTTTTCGTATTCATTCAACCTATAAACATAAAAATAACACAAATAGACAAAAAAATAAAAAATTTAAGCAAAATAACTTTTTATTTCTGCTCTAAAATATTTAAATTCAAATCCGTATCGACGGGAAAAATTAAGATGGTTAAATTATATTTTTATATGTAATAAAATAAATTTTTTTTTTCTAAATAAATATAGTGTTTTTTCTAACAATATTTTTGTAAAATAGTAACCTAATATCATACTATTTTTATTAATATTTTGACGGCTCAGTTATGTATACTCATAGTATTCGACTTTTCGTATTTTTTTACAGATAAATACTATTTTTATTTAACATTGTGTTTATTTTTCGGACGAGTTTTAAGTCAAACGAGTTATAAGATAAATAAATAAATAAAAAAATGAAAAACCTAATTCGATTGTCTTTACCAGCAAAATAACTGTCGCAATTACAGTAAATCGTCGTATGACACCTTGTTATATGTATTTACTAGTATAGCTAAAATCGTAGTCGAACGACGTGCGAAGAGAGGATATCATCTGGAATACGTATAGTTTAAACGTAAATTAAAATTTGTAATTTATTTTTACTTTTCACAAGCCCTGAAGTTAAATATTTTTAAAAAAAACAAGCACAAGCAAGGGCGCCCATAAGAAAATTCTCAAGGGGGGGAACAGCATTTTAATTTATTAATCTATTCATAAATAGGAATGACCCACGATATAGGAAAGGGTTTACAATTTTATATTATACTATTACATTATATACATCAAACTGAAAGACTATAAAATAATAATTATTTTACCAATTTACCATAAAAATAATTTATTGAAATTTTTATTTAATTAATAATATAAATTGGACACTTAAAACATTAGTTGTATTAATTAAAATATTAATTTACAAATATTATATAAATATTTTGGTTGTACACACATACATATACATACCGTATTTCTGGAAATACACAATATTTTATGAATTGATAATTATCCATAAAATAGAAACAAAAAAGCGTATTGTTATTTATAGCTGATAACCTGATTTTCCAAACTAAATAAATAGATTTTTCATAAACAAATAGATTATAGATTTATAGATTTTCATATATTAAATTAAATTTTTAAATTCTATTTAAATAAATATTTTCTGATCATAGTAAACAATTTTCCAAGATTTTTGACATTTTCCAGGGGGGGGACATGTTCCTCCTTTGCCCCCCCCCCATATGGGCACCCTTGAGCACAAGTACTTTTTATCGCTTTGAAATAATTGTTTTTGTACGTTGGCCGAATACTGACCGCGCAACGTTACAGAAAATTATGATAATAAATATATTACGTTATTATACGTGTGTATTTTACGATAGACGGCGACATTTTTTTCCGTTAATTTCAATAATCATATAACAGTCTGGTCTTAGCAAAACTGCTCCCATAATATACGGTAGAAGGGGGAGAAGCAATGATGCAAATAGAAGGCCGGTTGACCGAAACTCGCGTGTGGACAACGACTCGTGGTAATCGTTCGGGAACGCGCGAGACCGAACTACTCTGATCGTGCGTGTTCGTGTTCAAAAAGTGTGCCATCGAAGTCTTGACGGGCATTGCGAATCGTAATATTATTCTTTCGGCCATCTTCTTCAAGATCAATTGGTAAGTACGATACATAAGTACATCGAACACCGAGGCCTGGGTGACGGGTAAAATATATATAATCTTTGTAGCGTGTGCCATCCATATCTTTCGGTTATTGTATATTAAGTCAATTTAATATTCAGTCAAATTTGACGAGAATATATCGAGTTTCTAAACAATGTATAACATTTCTATTTACCTACCTACCTACCCACCTACAGAAGATATCAAAAATTGTTTAAAATTTAAAGACAAATTCTGGCTCTAATTTATTATCTGCATATCTTATTGATAGAGTTTATAGAGCTGGGATGATTGAATAATAAGAATACACGGCTTATTTGGCATCCGTTGTGAAAAGTAATAATTGTTATTTAAATTTTTTTGGATATTCGTGATTTTCGTTCTTTTAACTTTGAACGTTAACTTGAAGTTGAGTTGATTGAAGTTAGACGCCTTAAATCGAAGATGCCAACGCATATTTTTGACGACCTTCATAGATTTACTTTTGTACGAGTCACACGTAAGATTTGATAAATTATTATTGAAATCAAGTACATTGAATGAAATGCGATGTATATAAAAGCCAAAATGTGTCGTCGCAACGTCTTGGTCGTATGTTACAGTTGAAAGAAACCGTTATTACGATTGCGTTGTAACTATAATGTTTCCCGGTTTTTATTTTTAATTTCTCAATACTAGGTTTAAAAAAAATAAGTATATTGGTATATTGTGTTCAAATTATGATAAACGTGTAGGCATAGTATTTTAACTAACTAGTAAACATGTGAAATAATGATAAACTGTAAAACAAAATATAAAGACAAACCCTGAATACATTACTATACCGGGTAACCATATGAAACCAAAATATCTTTTTATATAAACAATGAAGAATTTTAGTTTTTTAAAATAAGATTTCATAAAATCAGTGGTCTGATATTATGTGATATTATAAAATTCAATTTTATATTAGTTGACAATGGTCCATTTATTTACTACTGGTTTGAGCCGTGATAAAATTATTAATGGTAATTAATAATAATTTATAATAATACTAGGTATTTTATGTATTATAACTCTTTTTATTTCTGCAACTTTATAACCACTAGCTTTATATAAAAACAAGTTTCAGATTAAAAAGTCAAGTATCTAATAGTTAATAAAACTAAAAAAATTTTACTATTATAATTATTATAAGAAAACTATTAATGAAATTAGTTTTGCGGTACTAGCATTTAATAATTGTGAAAAAAAATAAATGATGAATTAATAATAACTTCAATAATTATAATTACATGTACAATATATGTACAAGGTGCTTCGCTAAACTGGAAGTTAATAGAGTACGGACGAATAACAGGTACTGTGTTTGAGGGCTCGTCTTGCTGACCTTAGTGGTATAAGTCCATTTTGTTTCATATTTTTTTTATAAGTTCGGTTGTAATACATATAAATAAATATGTCTCTGTATGTGATAATAAATATGTTTATAACCTTAACCTGAACATATCATTAATATATTAAATGTTGAATATGCATTTAGTATAAATGATATATCGAACGGTGAATGAATTTATTAAACGTATTAATTTACCATGTATGATAGAAATTACTGTACAAGTAATGTAAAAAAAAAAAACACGCAATTAAACATAGTTTTGCTTAAAAACAATATTTTGTTTAATTTAAACAACAATTTGTAAATTTTAATCGAAGAAGTATGTGTTTAAAAGAAATTCTGAATTTTTTTGATAAACTATTGGTATAGTTAACAGTGACAGTTAGAATCAATGAATTTTCAATTTAACACCATATGGATGCCATTTATCTTCAATGCATTATTTGACTTAATTTTTTATTCATTACCCCATTATATACTCGCATACAATAGCAAGCTTTTGATGAGACCATCGAACAATAAGTCGAAAAAATGAACTAAAATGATTTACACAAACTAATGCAACAATATTCGTGGTTTTTATTTAACGCGCCTAATTTTGAAATCAATTTACATAAACAAAATCTTGCTATAATATAATCCGTTTTTAATGCGCAGCACGTTACAGCGCGCACTCATGTCCTAGTACATGCTCTAGCGTACTTGGAAGTCCGTCCACTTGTTATCGTCATGATACAGGCGCATTTCTCATCATTATTCTGTTTTGAAATTTTCCCGATATTCAAATATGGCATAATACGCGTTCTTGGCTTCGGCAGTACGTTCTTCCACGCGGTCGGGCTGTGACGTCTGCGCAAGGTCGTCCCGCAAATAATATTATATATAAGTCGTAATGTTTACCTTGACCCAATACGTGGTTTTCAAGTCAAATACGCACTACTTGCGCCACTCAAAGTGGCTTCAGGTACACACTTGTGTGTACGGGGTGCGAATTCAATCGCAGTTTTATTATTATTATTATTTTTATTGTAATTATCATTACCATCGTAATCGGGAAAATGTTCATGCGCATCATTTATCCGCTATAACAATGTCTAACACAAGGATTATAACAAATATATTATATTTGATGCGACGTCGGTCATCTAGATCAATGTTTCTCATCCTGGGATTCATAAACCTCTAGAATTAAGAATCTAAAGTCTAGATGTAGGGTCGTATCCGTCAGAAATAATTAAACGCTGATATAGAAAAACAACCATTTATTTACATTAAAAATAAACAATTAATAACCATAATTATAAAAATGAAAAAGTCAGTTTGTAGTATAAATACACTATGAACTTCATTTCATTTGTTTAGCAATTTAAAAACTCGTGTTTTTGTTTCTTTGATGCTTAATGTTATAATATATTTTGTAAATGGTAAAGCAGATAAAAGGTTAATTTTTTTTTTATAATAAGGAGGGTGGTCGTGAAGTGACTGTTTTATTTTTAACTATTCTGGGGTTCACAACGTTTAAATGTTGAGGAAACCTTGATCTAGACAACATCGTTAATCGCAGTGGATACGAAATTACCAACAGCCTGTTGAAACTGTAACTGGTACACTGTCCGTTGGGTGTGAGGAAAGGGAGAGAAATAATGTAGTTCACCACTAAAAATTCAATAGTTTTTTTTATTTATTTATTTTCTAATATTTCACAAAGTTTAGCAAATTCTTAAAGTGGGAATGACGCATTTTCGACTAGAATGCAAGGGTGTAGACGTGGAGGAAAATAAAAATACCAATCACGTTGTTACTTTGTCATGACCAATGTCGATGAAGATTTCCATCAATCAAGTTTCGCGTCACGCGTATGAAAATATTATGTTAGATGAAAGAACGCGGTTGCGATACATTATTATACGTTCGAGGTTCGCGTTCATTTGATGGGAATTCAAAACATATTATTTGTACGCCAGGTGGTCTGGGGATTTAATAATTACGAATAGTATAACATTATTGTGTTCGTACACCGGTAACACAATACTTCGATAGCTTTCGAGATGGTTGCGATTCTTGATTATCATTGAATAATTATTGTAAATCGAACTCGGTTAAAAATCAATAAAACTTTGATAACAATTTTTTATTCATTAATTGTTCACATCGTATAAAATGGGTACGGTGCGGCGTATTACTGATACTGCTGTTACTGCTACCGCCGGTGTGCGCATTATAATTAATGTATTTACACACGCCCCGTTCGGTTTATTATGCATTCATATTGTCAGCGTGCGTCGATTACTGTAGATCGTCAATCGGTTATCGATCGACACGATCTCGAAGATAGTATAACAATATTATTTTTATTTTCAACGGTGAAACGTTTTACAATAATGATTTGCGCATACTGCGCGTCGTCTAATCCGAATCGCAACGGGTCCGAATACAATTTACCTACTGTAGAGAAAAAAGCAAATTTGAATTATTGAAAATTTGCTTAATCATATTGAAACAATAAAATAATAGGAAAAAATTGATTAAACCAGAATTATTGATGTAGAGTTTATAGACAACATAATGAATAAAATAAACATTTTTTTTTTTTTTCAAACAGCATTTACTTACAACGTTTTACAACGAAATACACATATAATATTATTAGTGTAATGGCAGACGATACTCTGCGAATATGGATGTAGACAACAATTATGTGCCCAAAACCCTAACAATTTTTAATGCGCTATCTACACGAGGTTGAAACAAATGAAATACATTTATTGTTCGATACGACGAATTTACCGTTCCTCAAATGTTGCCACACGGACCAAGGCCAAAGTCCGACGTTGTAGCAGTGCATGGTTAACGTGTGGTGTGCGATGTAGACTTTGGGGTGTACAATAATAATATCATCCACGTAACAGCAATATTATTGAATTTCAACGGTGGCGATCGAACGACAACCGCAGTATAATGTATGTATATAGCACACGGTATGCCATTATTCACAGCGTACGACGACGTAACGTTGGACGATTAATAATACGGTTCGCATTGGGCGACTGGTAAATATTTTACAAGATATTCCGATGCGCTAAATCGAATATTCAATTTCGTTGCGCCTTATCGAAGTTAAGGTTAAGCTTATTGTTGTTGAAATTCGTTGACCTGCAAACGGACTTGCTACTTTCATTCTTTGTACGACGACCGAAAAAATATGAACGCAACGCGCCATATTATACATAGATTTGCAGAAAGATCCTATGGGAAAATAACGCTGGCCTTGTGTCTTATTTTTTTTTCTTTCTATTGTTTTTTTTTTGTTTTTTTTTTTTTGTACTTTTGGAAGATTTGTGTTATAATTTTTAAATAATTATTGAAGTCGTATTTGTGCCGCAAATCCAACAGAAATTACATTTATATGTTTGGCAATAAAATCGAATACGATTGTAATTGCACTACACGTGTAATTTAAAGCTGTGTACATTTAAATAATGCTGTAAACTGAAGACGTGCGAGCTTCTAAGATATTGTAGAACATAGATGTTATTTAACACAGAATATTATAGTACACAGTACAATATAATATAGTAATTTGAGGATTTAAAAATATAAGCAATGTGCGTATATT